CCTGTGCATTTTGAGGATAAACTTCAGATTGTTGTTGAAGCTTCAGCCCCCATTAACAACCCACGAAAAATAACAATCGTCACCGAAATATACAGGGATTAACCCAAAACTGTAAATAAAGGTTGATTAAGAATGTTAACGATGATGCAGACGGTAAAGATGGGTAAGAAACGAATAATTTATTGTGATAAAGCTGGCGAAGTAGGTTAGAGCAGGATGGTACGTGTTCTATAGACGATAAGGTTTTAAATAATTTTCCCCTCATCACCCTCCAGCTGTTGTGAAAAATCAGGTAACGGTATGTGTGGATTGGTGCATTATCGATTCATCCTAAAATTTATGGCAACATACTAAACACTTTCCACTGTGTTATTATAATCTGAGATAGCACAGAATTAAGCTATCACATCCTAAATCTTCAAATGTCTTATGATAAAGATTTAGGAGGATTACTCTTCAGTGTTACCGCGCGCTCTGTGACAAAACCTCGTACATCCTCGTACGCTTGTTCATTCATAACTTGTACTACTATAAGCCCAGTGTTATTGTTTTTTTTTATAGTAAAATTAGATCAGAATTTTTTATTTTTACCTCCATTCATATATTTTAAAGCCTTTTTACATTACTTTTTTTTAAGTTAATGGGTCAAGAAGTAAAATTAGCTTAATAAAATATATAAAAAAGTTTATATATTTTTATAAACTACTGAACACGTTATATAAAAATTAAAATAGCTAAATACACTTCTTAAAGTACTCTTCATAGGTAGATCCAAGATTTAGTTAGGGGGAAGGACTAATTTTTTTTCTTTTTTCTAAAAACAAAACAACTACTTTTATGAAAGGATGTTAGTGGTTCTGGAAGGTTAATACAAATTAATTATTGGGGCATTGATGCTTTTAGAGATATCCATTATAATATAAAAAAATAATAGATTGTGATTGTTTCAGTATTTAGCTTACAATTATATATCGCACAAAATAAATGTGGACCACTGAAAAAAGATTTTTTTTCATTATTTAAGATGGGTTCATTATGAATACTAGTTAATTTTTCAATTAATTACTTTACTCGATTAAATGTCGAAAATAATTTTTTAAATTACGGTAATAATTTTTTAAAAAATTCAATTTATCTAGAATATATTTACAATTGCAGTTTTATGAAGGAAATAATAATTACGAAGGAAATAATGGATATACTTTCTCGTATTTTATTTTATGCTCGATAAAAATGACGGTAAAAGTTTGTGTTTAATTTTCTTTTACAACACATTTTAAAAATTTTGCCCTCGGGCAGTGGAAGGAATTTATTGCATGTATATATTGTATTATTGTATACTATATATGTAATTGTTTCAATAAACATTTTGGAGGGTAAGAAAAAAAAAAACATTTTAAAAAATACATATTTATAAAAAACGTTTTATTAAGGAAATAGTGGATATGGTTTCTTATATTTTATTTTATACTGAATAAAATCTAATTTTTTTTTAAATTTTATTTTCTAGAAAATTAAAAAAAAAACATATATATACAATCATGGTTTTATGAAGGAAATAATAATCATCCTCTAATTAAAGAAGATATAATTGCAATTTATTTGTCTATAAATCAACAGAAGTTCAGTCTTTCATATCAACATAAATAATAATATGATATAGAGATGGTTGACCGTTGATATAATATGAGAAGGAGTTAGTCGAGGGTGCGGTCAAATAAATTTAAAAAAATTAAATTATATAAATTATTTTAATTTTTGCCGACGTGACCAACTGCCTCCCGCAGTGCCACATCCTACGCCCTGAAGACGACCTGCAAAGTGGGTCGAAACGTCGGCAAAAATTAAAATAATTTATATATTTTAATTTTTTTTATTTATGTGACCGCACCCTCGACTAACTCCTTCTCGTAAGTAATAATACAGACAAAGTAACCGTAAAACAATTCTAAACTTCATTCATAAAAATATAACCTTGCATTGCAAACGTCAGCAAAACTTAAGTACGAGGTACGAAGCTGGTCTATCTTCGTACTTCGTACATTACGTCATAACCTCGTACAAATACGAGGATCCTCGTACAAACGGCAACACTGTAGCTCTTGAGTAGCTCTCTATATTCCTTCCGCTGCACACGTTCCAGCGCAGTTCATTAATTTTAAACATATTTACAAGGGTTTTTTAGAAAATGTAATTAATCAGTGAAAACGCGGCACTGGCGTAAGCATCCACCGTCCTTTACCACATAATTTGGTTCTCACAAATGGCATAGTTATAGTGCTACTCTCTTCATTTGTCTATTATATTTTTTTCCACCAAATAATCTTTCCATCGGTTCCTTGTTACATTTTCAAAGATTTTGGATCTTCCTTATTTACTCCTTCAAAATTAAATAAATGTTTACTTCACTAACTCTTATAAGGCAGGTTATTGAAGACATAAAGATGAGAATTAGCTCATCATTTTCAAGTTTCGACGATTTTTTTTTTTTTTTTTTTTTTTTATTTATACATGATATTTACAACTGTATTAAAAAATTAAATACATTAAGTAAATTTGATAACAGAAAATAAAAACATGAAATGACTTGTTGAGAAACTACCCACTGGTAGCACTCTAAAAACAAAATGTATTTACAATAAGAGATCTCGAGGCCATCTTCTTTTCAGACGCCTCGGAGGGTTATCAGGAATAGAAGAGGAAGCAAGGTTAGAGACGAGAGGATTCGGATGGTTCTGGAGTTTATTATGGAAAGATTGGTATCTGGATTGGGCCAAATCGGAAACATAAGGAACATTAAGGTCATTATGGATTATTTTATTGGTGACAAAGTAAGGAGCATTGAGGATTTTCCGAAGGATTTTGGATTGTAAGGATTGGATACGAGAGGAATTTGATGGCTTAGTGGAGCCCCAAAGCTCAACTCCGTAAGTCCAAATAGGTCTTATTGTAGTCATGTATATAAGTCTTTTGTAATTTACTGGAAGCTTAGAGCGTTTGTCTAGTAAGTGTTGGAGTAGTCGGAAACGTCGAGCGGTTTCTTGTCGTTTCAGTCTGGTATGAGGATTCCAAGTTAGACGTTTGTCCAAGTGAAGTCCAAGGTATCGGATTTGTTCAACAGGGATAAGTGGGGTATTATTAAAGGATACTGTGGGACATGAGGTCATAGGTTTACGTCGAAGGGTAAAGGTGATTTGATGGGATTTATTAGAATTTATTTTAATTCTCCAGTTTTTACACCATTCTTCAAGGCTTGTGATGTGCGATTGAAGAGTTTGGGATGCAATGGTTGGGTCATTATTAACGGATAGGACACATGTATCATCGGCATATGTGGTAATAACAGTGTTAGGATGGGTTGGGATGTCAGCTGTATAAACTGTGTAAAGGATAGGACCAAGGATACTACCTTGAGGAACACCAGCGGACTGGGAAAAGAGGGATGAATAAGCATTATTGTGATTGACTTTTGAGTATCTATCAGTTAGATAGGAACGGATAATGAGGAAGTATGTAGGATGTAGGAATTTACGGAGTTTGTACAGTAATCCCGGGTGCCAGACTCGATCAAAAGCCTGTTCTACATCGAGAAAGACTCCCGTGCAGTACATTCCGCGCTCTAATGCAGAGGAGACAACATCCACCACACGATGGCATTGCTGGATAGTGGAATGGGATCAAGTTTCGACGATTGAAAGTGATCTTTCCCTCTTTCACTAAACCTTCTCCCCTCTCTCACTCCTCCTTCAAAATGTTTAAATGACACCAAGTTATTGAAGACATAAAGACAATTGCATATGATCAAATACGAAAAACAGCTTAAAATTTTGAAGATCGACAAATTTCCAAAAACTTTGAAAAACTGTATCTCAAAACTTATTGATTTTAACGAACCTGTTTTGTTTTGGTCTTAAATTGTAGCATATTTATTCTTTTTTAAACATGCATAGTTTTTTTTTAATGTTTTTTTTTTTTTCAAAAACATACTACTTCATGGTCGAAATGGGAAAAAACGAAAAAAGTGAGAAAATATAGCAGTTTTGGGGATTTGTAAAAGTGATCAAAGGGGGAGGGTGCGCCAAGGTCGAAAATTTGGATTTTACATCCCATACAAGAAAAAAAATAAACCTTATAATCCCATTTGATGCAACTTAGACCCCTTTTCATGACTAGATTACTAGGCTAATGGATTTACGGGGAATATTCCATATCAAGAGCTCTAGTGTGTCCCTGGTACAAATCATTTTTGGTAGGCCGAGAATATGATGAAAATGAACCTTACTCAGGGAAACCGTCAGCTTCAAAAATCGTGATTCGCGTGAGAACAGTCATTGCATACAAGTGGATGTTTCGTCATGAAAACGCCCCATTTCACACGGTCATTTCCATCAAGAAATTTTAATCAACAAAACGTAATCCTGTTGTTCTCCAGTCACCTTATTCACCTGGTCTGAATCCTTGCGACTTTTTTCTTTCCTTAAATTGAAAAACGTTTTAAAAGGGCGTCATTTTGGGACTATGGAGAGCATTCCAAACAATGTGATATAATTTGTTAGCAGACCTACCAGTTGAAATCCTTCAGCGCTGCTTCCTACCAAAACTGGGAACAAGGACTCCGCTGGTGTGTAGCTGCCAAAGGGAACTACTTAGAAGGGGAAAATAATATTGTTTTACAAAAATAAAAACTTTGATAGATGAAAAATCAGTCATATTCCTTTTTTTACACACCTTCTACATTCCATCCCTGCCTCCCTGTAATACTAACATACAATGCAGATGTGTTTATCTCACAGAATTCAACTCTAATATTTGAAATACTGATTAATTGAAATTACTTATTTATTTAAATACTTATTCAATATGAGCTCCATATACTTATTTAATTTATTTTTGGTCATCAATTCTAGTGTTTTACTATGTTAATGTATTGTAATTTTGTTTTATTATAATTCCTGAGTTCTATCTTTCGATCTCTTTGCTTTTACAATTGTGGCGGTTAACTTGAAGGAACTGTTTTGTTGATAGCATGGTTGTTTTGTCATCGGCAAATTACTATTATGTTTAAGATGAGAGCAATTGGACTAATATCCTTTTATTATTATTACTCTTTAGATTACTTTGCTATTGCTAGCTAATGACTTAAGAATTATGAGTGCAGTTGATGAAGTATCTCGTCATCTGCGGATGAAATCTGTAGTAATTCCTCCTAATAATGATTGGCTGGCCTCGTGTGTTGAATGTTTTAAGGAACAAGGAAATCACACATTAAAACAGCTTAGTGAACTTGTTTATCAACAGTGGTTACTTGCTGATTTGTCTGACATTGGTGTCCAAGTGCTTCCTGATAGTTGTTTAAGTGCTGAAAAAGTAGTCTTAGAGGGACGATATGCTGTACAGTTTAACTTTTTCGTAAACATAGCCGTTTCGTTTCATAAACAACTTCAAAAAATTCGAAAACCAGATTCTGTAAAGAATTTGGAAGTTGATTGTGAAAATACTTCTACTAGCAAAGAAACTGTTTCTAACCACAGGACATTGAAGATTGAAATCACTGATGGAGTTTTAACTATTGTTGGATTTGAGGATCATTTCATTCCTCAACTACATGAACCATTAGTCCCTGGTAAAAAAGCAATCTTAGTTGGCCCTCTAGAGTGTCGAAAAGGAATTCTTTTTTTAAGACCTGCTAATGTTCAGGTATTAGGTGGTGAAGTAGATGCTCTCCATATCTCTAATGCAAATGAAAATATACTAGCCAGGGCTCTGAAGTTGCCGGAAAATCCTGATCCGTATAATCTTGGTACTGTCGAAATACAATGTGTTGATTCAAAGGTCAAAAGTAACGATGGATTTGATGATGATGTAGATGCTCTGATGATGTTAGCTGAAGTAATTGAAAATGAAGTTTCTACTCGTGCTAATAGTGAAGTGAAGTACTCAGAAAGGCCGGATTTCTCAGTTGAAAATGTATCTTCTAATGTCAATTTAAGGCAGAATTTCCCTAGTTCAGTTGAAGATTCACTGATCGCTGATGATTTTGATGATGATATGGCTGAATTAGAACAGAAAATAAATTTCAAGAAAAATATTGAATCAATAGAATTTGATGATGACTTTGAACTGATTGAAGAAAAACCAGCAGAAGCTGAAAATACAGTTGCTAATTCTAAATCTAATTTTACTGACAATACCTCAAAAAGTTTACCTGATTGTCAAATCTTTAATGTTGAAGCTAGCAAAAAGCAGTATGAAGAGATTACAGATCTTAAGAATAAATTGAAAGAATCCTATGGTTCAAATGAATTATGTCCTTCAACTTCATTTAATTCTCCAGTTAGTGGGCGTTCATGCTCAGATTCTCTTAGAAAAGATAAGATAATTTTTGATTACCTAAGTGAAGCTGAATCACCTCTTACTAAATTAACTGATGAACCTGAATGTCTTGATATCAACAGTTCTAAATCATCTGATATAGATTTTTCTGATAAAAACTTATTAAGCTCCGATGCTTTTCCACCCAAAAAAAGGCCTGCATTAGTGAAAACACCTGCCCGAGTTGTTAAAGTTTTGAAAAAACCTAAATTGAAAGGGGACAAATGGGCTGTTAGTGCTGTTGTTATGGCAAAAGGCATAGAATTAGAAGTAACATTTTTATCTGAAGTTATTGATAAAATTTTTACAATATCGGCAGCTGAAATAGTTGCTCGAAGGACTGAGTTGATTTCAGATTCTTCGTTAAAGCAAAAAATTAATGAAACCTTGAAAAACTCCCAGATGCGATTTAGTACTTTATCATGTGTAATGGTGTTTAGTTTTCATGATTTCATTTCTAAACCAGTTATTGTTGATGTTGAATCTCATTAATCTCATGCAGGTGTTTACCAGTTATTGTTGATGTTGAATGATATATAGTTATTTGTTTTAGCTTGTATATAATTTTTTTGTTAATGGCAACAAAAAAATGTTTCCTCAATCATTTGTAAAAAGTTGTGAAATTTTATTTAATTTTTTACATTTTACAATAAATATGTGTTTATATGATAGTCCTTTGTCTATCATATAAACAATAGATAGAACTTTGCAATTGTGTCATTTAATTTTGTTGATTTATAAAATGAGATTCAATTGTGTTCTATAATTTAATAATTATATCAATGTTTACTCTGTATATTATATATTTAACAAGTATGATTTTTCTTACTTTTTATTTAAATTTGTAAATGTTTTTGTTTATAAATCAAATCAAATGTATATATAAGCATAAATGGTTGAATCATTAATTATGTGAAATAAATTATTTTGAATATTATCCTGAGATTAAAGTGATGCTATACCCACACCTTGAAAATATGGTAAAAATAAAATTAATAACAGTCCATATTGTATAATTTATATTTTAAATTAAAGTTAATTGTTCTTGATTTCTTATTTTTTTCATCAGTCTCATTAAACAAGATTAATTTAAAAAATAATAGACAAAAGAAAAGTTATAACTAAAGCATACATTTTTATAATTTTAAAATTTATTTATATTAGTTAATTTTTACATATATTAATTGAGATATATTTTGACAAAAGATATAGGCCCATTTTATTTTTTAAATCCATTTGTATTTTATAAATTGTCAAATGGCTAAAATACATTTTTAATAAAAAATTAATTTGTAGTATGAAACTCAAAGCTACAAAGAAGAAAAATGTCAGATATTTATTTTATCAAACATGAAACTTTTTGTATTTATTTTACATAAAAAACCTCCCTGTTTAAAATTATAATATTCTTGTATTAGTCACTGCTCCACTAAATATTTGAACAATAATTATTTCTGTATAGTAAAGCTATATTTTTCAAAAAAGATTTCTCATTTTGTAAATATTGCTATACAATTACAACCTTAAGTAACTTGTCATTATTCGATAAAAATATATGCATTAGTAAAGTAATTTTGTTATATACTTTTATATAATATGTCATATTAAAGAATTGAAGCTTTAATCCTATGAAAAGAAGTAAACTAGCATGGCATATTGTGTGGATATTTCTGATTACACGTCTCCAGCATATCAGATTAAAATCTCTCCATTAGAGGGTGCCATATAATTAGCATAATATACTTGGCAATATACATAGATAATAGTCACAAGAATTTAAAAAAGTAATGTTCGTTTTCCTAGAATGTTTAATCTATATCAAACTACCAAGTTTTTATTTTCAAACATACTATAAAATTATCGCAGATTTTTCTCTTTGATGTGTCTAACTTACAAAAAAAAAAAGGAAATTAAATTTTTGTGGGTTGCTAGACAATAAATATATTTGATTCCTCCTTAAGTAAGCATTAAATTAAGGGACATTGATCAAACTCTAATGTTATTTTGAAAAATAATTAAAACTTTGAAACCACAATCACTTTCAAGGTTCAAATTCTATCAGGCCAAACCTTTAATGATATTGACTATGTAATTATTTACTTCTTTTTTTCTCCCTTAACTCAACTTTGCGGATATGGGGGTTTACCCAGGCCAGAGAGGAGAGCTGGGATTATTGCCAAAGATAAAAGTCCCCGACACTGGGATTCGAACTTACATCATGCCTCTCTTTTCTGTACACTTCCAGACCTTTAAGATTTTTAGAAAGCCCTTATTTGCTTTCTATAGTACGTATTAAAAAATTTGAAATATACAGAGAAATGGTTCCTACCAAAAATTTGAGGGAGTATACAGTCTAAGTAAAAATTTCAATAACGCAGATTGCGTCATAATCCTCTCTGTGAGCACCCTGAGCTAGGTAACAATCGAATTTATCAACGATAATGAAAGGTATTCTATTTTTGGTGGCTTTACTGATTGGTGAGTCACCAACCTTTAAAACCTTTCATATAGATAACAGTGTTTCTTCATAAAGTGATATGGTTTGTTTATGTTATCATATTTGTCATTTTATGTGACCTTAAAAGATTAATTTACTTTTATTAGCCTTTTTTCCATTTAATTTTGAGTAAGATTGTTTGTTGAATGTTGTTCAAATTCGATCTTTTTGAATTAACTCTGCCTTCTTCAAGATTCCTACTGTACATAGTGTTTTCAACTGTACTTTTAGAAACCTCAACTTTTTGTTGAAATTCTTTAGTTGATCTATTTGAGAAAACAAATCACAAAAATGGAGTGGCTGTTTGGAAAAAGAATTACTCCTGAAGAAATGCTCAGGAAAAATCAAAGAGCATTAAACAAAGCTACAAGGGACCTAGACAGAGAAAAAGCACGCATGGAACAACAAGAAAAAAAAATCATTGCTGATATCAAAAAGATGGCAAAAGAAGGTCAGATGGAGTCTGTCAAAATTATGTCCAAAGATCTTGTGAGAACAAGGAGGTATGTAAAAAAGTTTATGATTATGAAAGCTAACATCCAAGCAGTTTCTTTAAAAATTCAAACTCTTCGATCACAGAATGCTATGGCTCAAGCCATGAAGGGTGTTTCCAAGGCGATGCAGAACATGAATCGGCAGCTTAATCTGCCTCAAATTCAAAAGATTCTGCAGGAATTCGAGAAACAATCTGAAATAATGGATATGAAAGAAGAAATTATGAATGATGCCATAGATGATGCGATGGAGGATGAAGCTGATGAAGAAGAAAGTGATGCTATTGTATCACAGGTTCTGGATGAACTTGGTCTTCAATTGAATGATCAATTATCTGGTTTACCACAGGCAACTGCATCCCTCTCTGTCTCTGGAGGAAAAACAGCCACTCCTGTTGCAGGAGCAACTGGTGGAATGACAACAGATGCAGATGCAGATTTGCAAGCTCGACTCGATAATTTAAGAAGAGAGTAAATATATTTTATGCTTATCCTTTTATTTTAAAGCTTTTTTCTATTTTAATTATGTATAAATTAAAAATATACTGTGATAAAGTAGCAGTAAGCCAATTAATGAAGTGTAAATGTTTGTTACTGTATAAATATAATATGTTTTTGCTTATTTCTTGTCTCTTAAGGGTATTAAATGGAAATCTTTGTTTGATATTTGAAGAAAAGTTAATTTTCATAGGAAATTAATTTTATTTTTATCTACTTAATTCCTGAATAAAACCACCCTGAAACCTGGAGGTGTAAAAAATAAAATTTTCATGGATATTGTGTAAAACTAATAAATTAACATTCTAGATTTTACGTGTGTTGGTTTACGATCTAATACTCTTGCGACTGAGAGACAAATAACCTTGTTAAAATAATTCTTGATTTTTAATTATAAAAATATATATTTCAAAAATTTCTTTTTCTTTGTTAAGAGACCTAATTTAAACCTAACTCATTAGTTATTTCATTTTTATGGTAAAACTAAAATCATGTGAATATTTTTTACTTAAAAAATTATTTCCTTCAACAGCTGAAAATGGTTCTAGTTTACAGGCGCTCTATATAGATTAGGCATGGATGGTTCACATCACTTATGTTTTTTTTTAGATTTTTTGACTTAATTAAACTATAATTACAATTTGGTCCCTCCAAATGGCAACATCTATGGGTCGATGCCATTAATTAATTGATCATGGAATGCCAAATAATATCATTAAGGTTACATATGGATTTTTTAAAAATGAATGATGAGGAAACAGGGCTTTGGAGCTATTATCAAAATAACTGACCTAAAACGGGGCAAGAGCTTACTTTATAACAGTCATGCTACTGACAGATCTGATAGTTTAGACTTTCATTTGGTTGAACTTGTTTGAATGAGTTATAAGGAGATGGAGAAATAGTTTATGTTTAAAGGAAGAGGCATTGGAGGTAGATAAAGCAAGGTGTTCTAAAAAAGGATGCCATGAACAAGAAAGAATTTGACAAAGAAAGCAATGCTATGTGATAAAGTATAACTATTGATTGGTTGGATTTGTGTGTTCAAGAGGTAAAAATTGTATATTAAAAATATTGCTGTAGGAGAGAAGGTTAGAACCACTTAAACTTGGTACAGCGGAATTAGGGTGTGTCTGGGAACGCCTACAATAAATATAAACTTTTTTTCTGTTGGCTTTACAGACCTGCCTCAACCAGTCTTCTCCATTCAATTTTCATAAGCAGTTCTTCTTTCTCAGTATTTATGACGAGTCCAGATTACTCCATTTGTCATTTAAAGAATTTCTCTAAAATCTTTTGACATCCTTCATTGAGGTTATTGTGGAGCCAATGTATTTGACATTGACTATTCTTAAGAATGATTTTTCTTCTATGCAAATACTCTTATTTTGTTGGAAATTTTCGCTTACTATTTTGTTTTATTTTCATATAATTGTAGGCCATTTAAGTTATGTTTCTCTTATCAGACTCTAAAGAAGTTATCATTGGCTAGGTTATTATTTAGGAGCAGAAGGAAAAGAAACAATAAAACAGGATCTGTGCTGTGCTGTCTCCTCAGAATCCAGATAATTCTACTTAACTATAAATCCATACATAAATATGTAATTTAATGATTATAATATATATTAAAATAAAAATATATATTTAAGAGAAGATTGGTTAGAGTGATCAGTCAAAAAAGTGTAATTATAAATAAGTTTAGTAAAAAATTGTAACACTCCATTCGGTCAATTTTTTTTCTTCCATGTACTAAAAAATACTATGCCCCATTGTGGGTAGAATGAGGGAGTGGATAAATTTGAAGATTAGATAACCTTCTTTTTAAACTGATAACAAGGAGTGTATTTCAGTACACCATTAAAAAATGTACAACTATGTATTTTTTTTTGTTAATGAAAGAAATAATAAAAAAAAAATTGTTTACTATGCTCATATATATTGAAGATACTGCATTTTTGTATATTTTTTATAACTAGTTGGCCTATGCGAACAATTTGAAAAGAATATTGGTTATTGAACAAATGACCAAATAAAGAAATTAAACAATTCAACATAACGTAAGATGAAGGAATCATTTCCAGTTTTTCTGCTAATTTTAATGGACGAAGTAAAAGCAAATTATTATAAAACTTCATTCAAGTTTTAAACCAAAATGTTAATGAATTACAATAATCTGTATCTCTGCTAATAATGGTCTGAATTCAATTTTTTTGTAGGTGATTTAGTAAACTTTTAAATAATCATGGAAATTTATTTGCAAATAAATTTTCTTTTCCTGAAATTTCTCCAACCTGAAGATGTTCAAACTGAGTGGACAGGGTGGTCGAATGTGCTAACGTGTGTGCACAGCACCACCGTTGTCCGGCAACCTGATATGTGGGACAAATGATAAAAAATAGTCATGAGTTCGAGTCTCGGTGCCGGGGGATTTTTTAAATCCATGCCCACATCCCCTTGCCCGGGAAAACCCCGTTTAGCCTTAAAGGTGAGGAACCAAAAAAAAAAGAAGGAAGTTGCTCAAAGTGAGTGCTCAATCATTGGATTCGATGAATAATTGAATAAAATATGGCGTAGCAACAAAAAAAAAAAAAAAATCTTTGAGAAATAATAAAGATATAGTTCTGTGTTTAGCTGGTCACGATAGTAACCATTTTACTTTTTATTAGAATTTTTTATCCTACCGTCCACTAAAACTTATAAACTCCTCAGTATTTTCAATTCAATGTTACTGTAACAATTGGAAGGTGAATTATTGCTCTTCGAAATCATATAAATAACTTTTTAATTTACCATCTCTATAAGGAATAAATCCTCTATTAGGGGAGAGGTGTAGCTCAGTGGTAAGGTACTGAGCTATCTATGCTGAAGATCCTAGGTTCGAGTCCCGGCTCAGGGCAGAAAATTTATTTATTCTGTTCCATTGGCCGTGAGACTCTCCTAGGGCACAGCTAGCCTCTATAAAGTGGGTACCCTAAATTAAATAATTGATTAAGGGAGAAAAACTGGTGGTCAAGCGTGATCTCAGTCAAATCACCTCCTTGCACAACTGTTCACTAAGAAACAGTGCTTTTCCTAAATAGTACTCAACCCCAAGACCCTTCATGGGTTGTAGTAGTACTAGTTTTTTTTTTTGTGTCATTTATTGTAGTATATGTGGCCCAAAATTCCTGCTAATTTTCGTGTGGATGGGTGGAAGCATATTGAAGTTGAAGTTGACAAATTTTTTGTAATTTTCAAAAAAAAAGCTCTAATTTAATTTGATAAAAAAAAAAATTGTTTTTATTGCTATCAAAATTTGTATCTGAGTGTTTTTAAAGGTGTGAAATGCAAATCTCAACTCTGTTTCTCATTAAAAATATATTTGAGCCCACTTGCTCCCCTTCGGCCTGTACAGATTTCCATTCAATTTCGATAATTCTTTTTTATTTTGTTGGGAATTTAGTAATCTTTCAAATAATCATGAGTGCAATCAACAAAAAAGTGTATAGGTTTTGAGGTATTCACAAATAAACGTTTTTTTCCTGAAATTTCGATTACTTTTGCCAATAATCTCCCACCTGGAGATGTTCAAAATGAGGCCTCAATCATTGGATTTGTTGAAGAACTGACCAAGATATGGCAATCTGACAAAAAAACACCTTTGAAAAATAATATATAAAGATTAACTGTATGCTAAAAAGGGTTAAAGACAACAATTTCAGAGAAATACTTTGGAATTTTAAAATGGTATGATGCAGTAAAGATAAGTAATAATATAATTTATTGAACAAAAAATGTTTAACAAATCGTAGGAAATAATGTATTTAATACTTCATGCATTAGTAATGCAGAGTAAAATACAAAGCTTACAAATATAAATCACATCAACAGGACTAAAAATAAATAATGCTAACATAAACAATAAACTCAAGTTCACAATTAGTAACAACAAATATTAAAGAAAAGAAAAAAATACACAATGAATTTAATCGTACCGATACATAAATTTAATTCATAGAAAATAAAGAAAAACAAAAAAATTAAAACAATAACTAATAAAACTATGCTCATGAAAATTATTCTTTTTAAATTTCACAACTCCATGTATTGCATTTATTTTTTTCAATTATTTACATTTTAAAAAATTACAGTCTTGTAATAAGCATCACATCTGTATGGACCAAAACAAAATAAATTTATATTTGGAAATACGATGAAGGAAAATAAAAATATTTACATAGTGACCAGTATCCATCACACTAGATGCTTGCAATACAATAACATCCAATTAATAATCATATCATACCATCCTAAATAATGTGAATAAACCGAGAAATAAAAGACAAAAATATACTGAAAACATCTTTATCAGTACAGAAAAACGGACGGCAACTTGTAACCAATTTATAATTTCTTAAATTATCAAGATTAAAATACAAAAACATCTAAAATAAAGGCGACTTAAAAAAGGTCTATATTAGATTAAGCTCAGATCATCTTATGATTTTATAGTTATCCGAAAAAATGAAACTACTCCAGTCAATTATTCACACATAATTCTTATTTGATAAAAATGTGATCTTATGATAAAACAAGATATATTGCTGAACACAGTGGCATGTGGCATACCTAGACCATCTGGGGTCCACGGCGAGTTGATTTTTGAAGCTCCATACAAAAACAACACATTTACGTTCTTGTCTAATTAAAAAAAAATCTATGTATTTTTTTTTCAATAAAGTTATTTGATAAAAAAAAAAAAAAAAGAGCTAAAGTCCCCTGTTGGTGGAACCAGGACATACTATTACCTAGGCACACCACTACTTAAACCTGTGAAGCTCAAATAAGTAAGTTAGCCCTCTTTTTACACTTAAGTTATGTTTTCCCATTCATGAGATTTACATGAATACTTAATAAACAGTAACATAAATAAACAGCATTGGGAAGCAGGAATGACTCCAAGAGAAAATTAATGAGTCGATTAAAAGCCGATTTTCGATCAGGATATGTACTGACAAACTAATTAATGAAGAAAACATTTTTTTTTAAAATGGCAATTTGATTTAGCACTTTTTATGAAAAAAAAAACTTCATTCTTGGGTTTCAATACATAAATCAACTAATGTCATAAAATAATATAAATATTCAAAAAGTAATAGACATAATAATTTATTCAATTAATAATAACACAACAGATGCAATATGGCAATAAAGAGACTAATAAATGGACAGCATTAAACAACAAACCAATCCATTAAATAAATAAAAATGAGATAAAGGTGGCTGGCTGTGAATGGGGCTTAATATTTTTATTTTTAAAAAATCAGAAATTTGAAGTGAATAAAGTATAGAATAAAATTAAGTTTGTGGAAAAAAAAAAAATACGTATTTGAAAATTTGCAGATTTTTTTAATACTTTTACTTTAGGGTTATTCAAAACTTGGTTCTTTTCTGTCGAATACTGTCTGAATGATTGAATATTACTACAAAACACAAACTTCCGAATAACAGAATTTAAAAAAAACACAAAGATCATCTAAAACACAGAATTCACTATAAAATACTCGTAATAAATAATTTATAATCAAAAGATTCAAAAATTATACTGGAGTTTAATAATAATTTACAAAAAGCGACTTAGTACCAAAGCAGTTTGATCTTTATAAACTAAGCTATGCTTAGCCCAGAACGATTCCAACCCCCAGTCTATAAATCATATCAAACATTTAAAAAAATCAGGTGTATTAAAATCACCATACTAATTAATACTGGACATTATAGGACTTATAAAAATAAATATTCATAGGGCAAAATCGTTTACAATTACACTCAAGAATTTATGTACATTATTTACAATTTATTGGGATGTTGACGATTATTTGTTTCCTAATTTTCTTTGCTCACTCTTTCTTACTCATAGAATCTGTTTCTGTACTGACATTACACACAAGAATAAAACATATTACAATTTAACTTATTAATGTAACTTATATGGCATAGAACCTGTTATTAAAAAAAAAAAAATTGATACTAAAAAATATAAATCTAACGTAATCAATAATGAAAAAGTAGTTTACTATTTGGGTAAAAATACTATTTGAGTAAATATTACTAAAAATCAAAACAAATGATTTTTAGTGACACTAAGATAAAATTAAATTTTATGAGTCATATTTATAATAAAACTATCAATCAATGTCACAAATTAGTAACATTAAGAGAACTTCTATGGGGAACATTCTTTAATCACTTTAGTAATATTATTTGATTAGATTATAATATTGGACTAATCTTAGGAAATCTCTTTAAGTCTATTTGCCATTAATAAATATACAGTATAATGGATAAGATATTTGAACTTGCAATATTATAAAAATATTCTGATGACTTATTATGCTTAACAATGGTAATTTAAATATCTTCTAAATTTGTTTGTATAGATCGACAGATTTTACAGGCATAAATGTTAATTAAAAACAATAAACTGATCAACAATTTTTATATATTCATTATAAGAAATTAATGGAATAAAATACAATGAAACCTGTAAGAGAGTATATTAATTCTGATATTATTAGACAATTATTTTAAAAGCTTATTTATTGAATAATAATCAGAATATTTAATATTTTGAATTCACCTAAATAATAACTAACTAAATCATATAAAATATCAGAATAACATTAGTAACAAGTAGAATTTTTTTTTTCTCCCCCTAAATTACAGTAGGGTCATAATAATCCGGACAGGATTACAAAAAAAAAAGGAAAAAAAGTTAAAAATTAATTCAATGTAAATGAGTAAACACTTACGAAGAGACAGAGCTGTTAGTTTATAATTGGAAAATTCCAACCAAACAGCCTTATGTCACTGAAATCCAGTCAAAAAATAAAATAACCCGTAAACATTCATGATATTTTGATCAGTATGCCATTGGATGTCAAACAGTGATGTGATCTTGAATTTGTTTTCTTTTCTGTCCAGGTGATGCCTGAATTAGTGAAACGTTTACATGTTATTTTATTCTTTGTCTGTATTTTAGAGAGACAAAGATGATTGGTCGGTATTTTCAAGTTATAAACTAATTAAGACTTTTATTTTGCAAACGGCAACAAAATAATTTGAGAAAAGGCTTTGACTTAAATGGAAAAAATTAAAAAACTGTTTCGTCTATGTTACAACACAATAGTAACGTGTATCGGTGAATCACGGAACACTCAATTTACACATTTGTATTTTTACCAATACTTCTATTTTGTTTTTAAAATTCATAATTCTTCCAATACAACATTAATGTATCCGGGTTTTGTGTTGTAAAGTGCAATAATAAATTTTTAGTTTAAATCACAAAAAGGCTATATCAGTTTGCAGGGCAAAAATGTAGATATATATATACATATCATAGTATTAAGAATGAAAGGTTAAGAATACTAATAAGAAAAAAAAAATCATCAAAATATTTTATGACTTGCATTTGCAGCTATTTAACATTTAGTCCAGATTAGTGGGACTCTACTGAATTTATAACATTCAAATACTATTTCTGATTATAATAAATGGCAAAACATAAAATATGATGGAATATTTTTAATTTATGAAAATCACTTCTGCAGTATAAGATGAAAGTTATATTAGTATATTACAACAAAGGGATTATGCAATAATACAAGAGTTACGAGGAGCTGATGGAGGTCGAGTTGCTGGGAGCGTAGCAGCCGGTGATGAGAGAGCAGATGAAGTATTACGCTTCTTTCCGCTTGATGGCAATGTAGTTGATCTTGTCATGGCGTATGATTTTAAATGGGACTTTATACAGATAGGCAATGGAAGCTGCTCAATTCCATAAACTGTAGTTTTCGCAACTATTGCTCTACAACACAGTTCTTGCAGAGACAATACTAAAATAAATTTTAAAAATAATTAATTTAATAAATAAAAAATAAATAAATAAATACTTGAAACAATAAATTCTTGCTAACTAATTTGATTAAAAATCATATTTGCTTATTACCCTTCCAGGCACGATGCTCATGGAGTGTGCTATGTGCTTTTGGTAGTGATAAATGTTTTTTTTTTTCTGTTGTTCCAATTCTAAATTCACTATTTTGTATGTTTATATGTATTTTATGAGAATAAGATTTATTTATATTACACTAGCAGATGTACCCATCGTTGACGGGTGTATAGTTAAAATTTGAGAATCTTTTTTTGAGATAGATTTTGAATTATGAGGGAAGGAGGGTCTAAATTCAATTTCATAAAATTGGGACGGGAGGAGGGAGGCGGATTGTTTTGAAATTTTTTATTGGCTAAGTCATAACAAAAACTGTGTTATTTGGCTATTTGTTAAGGTACTACACAATCAAACCGACCACCACCGATCCATTAAAATTTGTTGTTTAATTCTCATTTATGAAGCGAGGAGATTGTGGATTCGATTAATTAATCAAAAAGAGTTGTAGTATCTCCAGTTCTTTAAACTCTGCTGTGTTTATCGCTGGCAAAATGACCAAAATAACATTGGACAATTAGTCACCTACATCCGTATAAGTATTAGAACTTGATCTGAATATTGTGGTGGATGGGGTGAAATTTTTAGATTTCTTTTTTCCTGATTCCCGGCTAATCTGCTTGGTTAATCCTAAGAATGTATACGACAACATTTGTTAGGCTCGGGAAGTTGAATTAAATGACACCTTGAATGGGAAGATTTTTCCATCAGTTGAATAGTACAACTTTTAAATGTGGCTGGCGGTAGAGTAGGTTGGGATTAGAATCGAAGTAACTGCTTAACTGGGATCTCTAAACTAATTACTCAAGACTTCATAACCTTGGTTCTACTCAATATTTTTTTTTCATTTAAAGCCTATATTTTAAGTCAAGCAAACCTAAAGGTAATGTCAAAAGTCTACCATTAGCCATTGCCGAGCTTACCCCTGACAAAATTTTGTTGCAATGCGGACGGACATACAGACAGACAAAATTTTTTTAAAAAGTGGATTTGGTGTCTGCAAAGTATGAAACAGAAATATATCATAAAATGGGTTTATTCTATTCAATGTACAGAAAAAAATCTTTATTTTATTTATATAGATTATTGTAACTTATTTTTTCTGTTGTTTTTAACATAATTATACACTGATACGCCGAGTTTAATCAAAATCATTGGATTTTTATAATCCTATTTATTTATAACCTATTATCCTAAATATTTATAACCCTTGATATAAAGTGCCAATTCCGGTTACCCGATTTCGAGGAAAAGGTTGCTGTCACATCTGAAGCATATATCTTAAATACGTAATATCAGGTTCGTACAACTTTTAGTTTTTTAGTCTTTTAGTTTTTCATCTTTTAGTTGAGCTAGACTGTTCACATACACATACACACAGACCATTTTGCAGGACTTGGTTATTTGGACTCAGAGGACCTTAAAACCTTTATTTCCATATGCGGCGCAGCAGTTTTCCAAGCAATTTGATAAGTACTGGAAATTATAAGGGTCAAGGGCAGGTAAGAAGGTAGCAGCGCTTTCTTCACTGGAAGGTTAATGAAAAATATTTTCCTATTAAATAAAAATACCAACTTTATCCATTATTATTTAAATTCTTTTGAATGAGGATTAATTGACTGATTATTTCTTGAAAATTAACGTTTAGCACTATTTTATTCACTAGTAAATTCTACGAAATATCTAAAAGCGATATCTAACGATAAATTCTACAAAATATCTAAAAGCAGAGCTGGCAAGAGAGATCAGCAAGGAAGCTAAACTCCAATTTTTCAAATTTATTTCTCTTTCAGTACTGATTCATTTGTCAGAAGGGTGGGCTGCCATCGACAAGCATACATGCAATATTACAGCAACCGAGATGAGGTTCCTGATGAAAATTATTGAAAAGACAAGGGGTGAACGGGCTTGTAATGAAACTGTAGGAGAGAGCTTGGACAAATGACCTATTGGAAGTATACTGCAAGTAGGTTAGCTTAAGTGGATTAGATCTATATGCAGGATGAGCAATGATAGAAAAGAGATTGCTTCTTGAAGCTCACCTTTGTGGACTGCAATCACTTGCTGGGCTTCAAATCACTTACCATAGAGAAACAGCATGACAGAAATGAGAATATTAGCAAGAGATTGTGATCAATAGAGTGGGTGGTTCGAGGATACCCCTTGCATAATGGGACAATGGAAACAGAGAAAGAAGATGACACATGTGGTGTGCACATCACACAACTTTCACTTACCTACAGCTCTAATTTGAATAAAAATTATTTTTTGGCAACGTTGGGCTATTATTAAAAAGCTTAATCCTTACTGCTAAGAACTCATTAATGCCATTAAAATAACACAAACCATATTTATTATATCAACGGTAAGCAATAAAACCCTCGTAAATCTATTTGTTTTTGTAAACCACATAACTCTAGATGCTGAGCTATATATGTCCAGTGTAGCTCGTAGCAATACATCTGGAAGCCTTTACGTAACAATCAATGCCTCAATAGAAGGCAAAAGACCACATGGAAGGCCAAAAAGCAGATGGATAGATAGAATAAATAATGATGCAATAGAGCTCCGTGCAGATAAATGGAAAGAAATAGCCCAGGACAGGCAGAGATGTAGCAGGCTTGTTAAGGCGGCAAAAGATCTACATTGTTTGTAATGCTAACAGCAAAAAAATATTAAATATGCTCAGTGAGATTTGAAAGTACATCTGTATATTTAACCAATAAATGATAATGGGTTGTACTACTATTAAACTCTTATTTTTCTATCAGAAAGTTTATTAAAATAGAGTTCCGAGATTTTCATGTCCACTATCAATTGTTGAAAAGTTGTCACACTAATTGCAAGTGGATAACGTGATTTCACAAAAGAGAAAATTCTTCTGATTATTCACTAATTTTATTTTCTAAAATGTTACATGATGGACTTTTGATATAAACCACAGTTAATATATTTAAGGTTATAAACATATCAATGAAATATTTTTATATTTCACTTCTTTCACACAAGTACAATAAAATAGTATTTTAAATAATGGCAATGTCTTGATTCGATGAATTTTAAATATTTTAAAAAGTGGATTTGGTGTCTGCAAAGTATGAAACAGAAATATATCATAAAATGGGTTTATTCTATTCAATGTACAGAAAAAAATCTTTATTTTATTTATATAGATTATTGTAACTTATTTTTTCTGTTGTTTTTAACATAATTATACACTGATACGCCGAGTTTAATCAAAATCATTGGATTTTTATAATCCTATTTATTTATAACCTATTATCCTAAATATTTATAACCCTTGATATAAAGTGCCAATTCCGGTTACCCGATTTCGAGGAAAAGGTTGCTGTCACATCTGAAGCATATACCTATCTTAAATACGTAATATCAGTTTCCTACAACTTTTAGTTTTTTAGTCTTTTAGTTTTTCATCTTTTAGTTGAGCTAGACTGTTCACATACACATACACACAGACCATTTTGCAGGACTTGGTTATTTGGACTCAGAGGACCTTAAAACCTTTATTTCCATATGCGGCGCAGCAGTTTTCCAAGCAATTTGATAAGTACTGGAAATTATAAGGGTCAAGGGCAGGTAAGAAGGTAGCAGCGCTTTCTTCACTGGAAGGTTAATGAAAAATATTTTCCTATTAAATAAAAATACCAACTTTATCCATTATTATTTAAATTCTTTTGAATGAGGATTAATTGACTGATTATTTCTTGAAAATTAACGTTTAGCACTATTTTATTCACTAGTAAATTCTACGAAATATCTAAAAGCGATATCTAACGATAAATTCTACAAAATATCTAAAAGCAGAGCTGGCAAGAGAGATCAGCAACGAAACTAAACTCCAATTTTTCAAATTTATTTCTCTTTCAGTACTGATTCATTTGTGAGAAGGGTGGGCTGCCATCGATAAGCATACATGCAATATTACGGCAACCGAGATGAGGTTCCTGATGAAAATTATTGAAAAGACAAGGGGTGAACGGGTTTGTAATGAAACTGTAGGAGAGAGCTTGGACAAATGACCTATTGGAAGTATACTGTAAGTAGGTCAGCTTAAGTGGATTAGATCTATATGCAGGATGAGCAATGATAGAAAAGAGATTGCTCCTTGAAGCTCACCTTTGTGGACTGCAATCACTTGCTAGGCTTCAAATCACCTACCATAGAGAAGCAGCATGACAGAAATGAGAATATTAGCAAGAGATTGTGATCAATAGAGTAGGTGGTTCGACGATACCCCTTGCATAATAGGACAATGGAAACAGAGAAAGAAGATGACACATCTGGTGAGCTCATCACACAATTTTCACTTATCCACAGCTCTACTTTGAATACAAATTATTTTTAGGCAATGTTGGGCTATTATTAAAAAGCTTAATCCTTACTGCTAAGAACTCATTAATGCCATTAAAATAACACAAACCATATTTATTATATCAACGGTAAGCAATAAAACCCTCGTAAATCTATTTATTTTTGTAAACCACATAACTCTAGATGCTGAGCTATATATGCCCAGTGTAGCTCGTAGCAATACATCTGGAAGTCTTTACGTAACAATCAATGCCTCAATAGAAGGCAAAAGACCACATGGAAGGCCAAAAAGCAGATGGATAGATAGAATAAAGATGCAATAGAGCTCCGTGCAGATAAATGGAAAGAAATAGCCCAGGACAGGCAGAGATGGAGCAGGCTTGTTAAGGCGGCAAAAGATCTACATGGTCTGTAATGCCAACAGAAAAAAAATATTAAATATGCTCAGTGAGATTTGAAAGTACATCTATATATTTAACCAATAAATGATTATGGGTTGTACTACTATTAAACTCTTATTTTTCTATCAGAAAGTTTATTAAAATAGAGTTCCGAGATTTTCATTGTCCACTATCAATTGTTGAAAAGTTGTCACACTAATTGCAAGTGGATAACGTGATTTCACAAAAGGGAAATTCTTCTGATTATTCACTAATTTTATTTTCTAAAATGTTACATGATGGACTTTTGATATAAACCACAGTTAATATATTTAAGGTTATAAACATATCAATGAAATATTTTTATATTTCACTTCTTTCACACAAGTACAATAAAATAGTATTTTAAATAATGGCAATGTCTTGATTCGATGAATTTTAAATATTTTAAAAAGTGGATTTGGTGTCTGCAAAGTATGAAACAGAAATATATCATAAAATGGGTTTATTCTATTCAATGTACAGAAAAAAATCTTTATTTTATTTATATAGATTATTGTAACTTATTTTTTCTGTTGTTTTTAACATAATTATACACTGATACGCCGAGTTTAATCAAAATCATTGGATTTTTATAATCCTATTTATTTATAACCTATTATCCTAAATATTTATAACCCTTGATATAAAGTGCCAATTCCGGTTACCCGATTTCGAGGAAAAGGTTGCTGTCACATCTGAAGCATATATCTTAAATACGTAATATCAGGTTCGTACAACTTTTAGTTTTTTAGTCTTTTAGTTTTTCATCTTTTAGTTGAGCTAGACTGTTCACATACACATACACACAGACCATTTTGCAGGACTTGGTTATTTGGACTCAGAGGACCTTAAAACCTTTATTTCCATATGCGGCGCAGCAGTTTTCCAAGCAATTTGATAAGTACTGGAAATTATAAGGGTCAAGGGCAGGTAAGAAGGTAGCAGCGCTTTCTTCACTGGAAGGTTAATGAAAAATATTTTCCTATTAAATAAAAATACCAACTTTATCCATTATTATTTAAATTCTTTTGAATGAGGATTAATTGACTGATTATTTCTTGAAAATTAACGTTTAGCACTATTTTATTCACTAGTAGGCCGTGCGAAAAATTCGCTCAGCATATTGTTTTCAAATGCCAAATTAATAAGAAAATAAAATAATGAAACGTATCAAAACATAAAGAAATCAATTGCTACTTAACGATAAATATAATCGACAAAGGAAACAAAACTTAATTTAAGTCTTCGTCAATGTTTGGAACAAACATGTTTACAAATTTCAATAAGCTGTATCTGTGCTAAAAATTGTTCGATATAAAAATTGTAAGGTTGTGTGGATGTGAACCCTATGCCTTGTGTTATCTCAAAAATAGTACGTTTTTGGGCTTAAAAACGCAGGATCCGATAGTTCCGGCAGTTTTCAGTAACCCACACCTGAGAGAAAAAAATATATTAATTCTCTTATAATTTTGTCTATTATTAAACAACCTCTTATTTATTTAGGAAATATTCCAATGGTAAGAAGTGAGCTTCCGAGGTTATATTATTATTATTTGTAAAATATAAGAGAGATGTTACAGTATATTTTGTAAATATTGTCAATGTAAAGATCATGTATGACGGCATGATCTTAATATCATTAGAATTTTCATTAAAAGCACTTCTGGCAATATAGTAATCGATCTTTACATAAAAAAAATGTGAAGTTAGATTAAATTGTCATGAAATCTAAAAATCAACAGTATTATATAAAAAGCTCCTTCAATAAACTAATAGTAGATCTCAATAGTAAAGAAATCTGATAAGTTAAAACGAATTGATATGCCATTAAAGTAAAAATACAATTTTTTTTCCTCGCAACTATGAAAATATTAGTTGGAAGTAAAGGGGTATAAATGCAACTCATCATTCTAAAAATAATTTAAAAACCTTTTTAAATAAAGTAAAAATCTGTTTTAACTATAAGAATCACTTTAGGAATACTGAAAAACCTATAAAAAGAAAGTTATCAGGATAGAAAAATCATTGCAGTTATAGGAGAGGTTTAAATAACTTTAATAATAGTTTATTCAAAACTTAGTTTTGTTCGATATTTAAATTTTATTATTATAAGTTGCACAAATAAAAATTCTGGAATAATACCTTTATTTGATCTCCAAAGCCTTTCCATTCCATTTCTATGAAGAGCTCTTCTAGACAGTTCAGAAAAGCTTTCTGTTATATTAAAATCACATAACGGGCTTACTTCAAAAAAAGCCATGCTGTTTTTAGCAGCATACATTTCTGCTTCCCGGGTTCCAACTTGCCGTTTGAATGCTAAATGCAATCGATTACCAACAAGTACTTTAGGTACACCAGGAGCATGCTAAAATAAAAATAAGAGATAATAGAGAATACATTTTATAAGGTCTATTGGTTTAATTATAAATTAATAATTAAAAAATAATAATAATGTGGTGTGATGATCATATTGTCGGTTTATTGCAAAAAGTCATTAAGGGACATTTCATAACCTCAAATAATTAAGAACATTGACGATTTTTTTCTTGGTGAAATCAGAAAACTGTGCCATAAGTATAACTATATATGATAAATAAAAGACTGTGTGTCATTTTCATGAATTTACAGTTGTTTTTTTTGTTTAGAAGTGATAAGGTTATATAAGGCATAAATTAGCAGTTTTCCCTTTCTATATAGAAGAAGCAGCCTTCAGTGGGTACTGAGAACAAGCATTGACATTATACATTGATGGCTCCAAGCAAGGATTTGAAGTTGTTTCAGCTTTGTATAATCCATTACAACATACATCAGAGTCTTTAAAGCTATCGGGGGTAGCTTCCATATTTACTGCCGAGGCTATAGCAATACCCGAGGCTCTAAAATATGCCTCATCTGCAGAACCTTTTCGTGTGATTATTTTCTCTCATAGCCAAAATTTTGCCTCAATCAAGAATGTTAACAGCTTCTCTCATGCTATTACATCTGAAATATTTAATTTACTATGCCAGTTAGATAATAGGAGCATAAATGCATATATTATTTGGATAAAAGGCCATAGTGGTAATGTTTTTAATGACAAGGTTGACAAGCTTGCTAGAGAAGCAGCTTTTATCGGTAATCGTCGACTGTATGTATCAGCGAGAGATACTAAGGCTCACTGGCAACAGAAATGGCAAAAAGAGAACTCCACCAGCGTGAAAGGGCATTACTATAAATCTGTTCAATCTCAAATCCCATAATTTCCTTGGTTTCTACCCTATAAAACTTTCTGAAAATACATAACTTCTATATCATGCCTTCGCCTCAACCACAATAGCCTACCATCCCATCTCTTTAAAATAAGCATCTTGGACTATCCTTATTGCTCCTGCGACCATTCCTCAATAGCCGATGAAAACCATGTTCTCCTTTCCTGTCGAAATTCAACCACAGACCACGATTCTTTCTACCATTTTCTCATCAAAAACAATATTCTCCTCCCTACAACAATTCCTACTATCCTTACACTAACTCATAGAACAAAATATATCTTAACTACATCTAATGCATTAGCAGAATCAAGGAAGACTTATGGGATGAGGCCCCTCCACTCATAATAAAATTTTTTTTTTTTTTTTCATTAGTCCTATTTGTTTTTATGAGTGAAGTGAAATACTTGAACAATCACAATATTTAAAAAAAAAAATTATAACACATGTAGTTTTTTTTTTTTTTTTTTTTTTTTTGGTTCTTCCCTTCCTCGCCGTTAAGGCTATACGGGATTTTCTCGGGCCAGGGAGTGAGGGCGGGGATTTAAAAGACTCCCCCGGCACCGGGACGCGAACTCGTGCCTATTTTTATATCTTTAATTCATATGTCAGGTTGCCAGGCAACGGCGGTGCAGTGCACACGCTTTAGCCCATTCGGCTACCCCGCCCACCTATAACACATGTAGTGTAAAGATGGTTGACCATGATGATAATATGAGGAGTTCATCGGGAGGTGTGGTCAAATGAATACGTAGTGGCATCCTCCCTTTCCCCTCCCTTCTCCCAAACAACTTCTCATATAACACATGTACTTCAGGAACTAAATTCAAGCATCAATAAAAATATGTAACATTTTTTTCTCTAAAAGCATTATTGTTGTTCCTGTAATTATTAACATTTCAAAAAAAAAATCCTGAATCCGCAACTGATCACAATATATTCTCATTTTAAATTTTAATACAGGTAAATTAACCAATGTACTTTTCCTTCTAACACAGGAGAAATTTATAGAATTGAGGAATGATAGGATGCTGAAACTCAACTTCATTGAAATGCCATTAGCTTCGAATTTCCAACTATCCTAAATTTTTCAATTCCATATTTAAATGAAAAATAATTTTTTGACAGTGGTTCTAATAAAATTGACAGATGATTGTGTTAAAAGTGTTTAGACACTGAACTTATGGAAGAACTTGGTCCATATAAGGCCAAATATACAGCTTATATGTACATCAAGACCATCTCAGATATTTCATAAATGAATATGTAGTTTGTTATGTTCAAATTAATGCTAATGAAATGATATGATAATGATAATAAAATATTGAACAAAAAACTTTGTTTAATTTAAAAAAAAAAAAAAAAATGGAGCAATTAGAACCCATGAACGGAAGGATCCAGGGGTTCAATACTGTTTAAGGAAATACTATTTCTTGGTCTACAGTTGTACAAGGAAGTTGTATTTGATCAGTATCATAGTCAACCAGAGCTGGCAAGAGAGATCAGCAAGGAAGCTAAACTCCAATTTTTCAAATTTATTTCTCTTTCAGTACTGATTCATTTGTCAGAAGGGTGGGCTGCCATCGACAAGCATACATGCAATATTACAGCAACCGAGATGAGGTTCCTGATGAAAATTATTGAAAAGACAAGGGGTGAACGGGCTTGTAATGAAACTGTAGGAGAGAGCTTGGACAAATGACCTATTGGAAGTATACTGCAAGTAGGTTAGCTTAAGTGGATTAGATCTATATGCAGGATGAGCAATGATAGAAAAGAGATTGCTTCTTGAAGCTCACCTTTGTGGACTGCAATCACTTGCTGGGCTTCAAATCACTTACCATAGAGAAACAGCATGACAGAAATGAGAATATTAGCAAGAGATTGTGATCAATAGAGTGGGTGGTTCGAGGATACCCCTTGCATAATGGGACAATGGAAACAGAGAAAGAAGATGACACATGTGGTGTGCACATCACACAACTTTCACTTACCTACAGCTCTAATTTGAATAAAAATTATTTTTTGGCAACGTTGGGCTATTATTAAAAAGCTTAATCCTTACTGCTAAGAACTCATTAATGCCATTAAAATAACACAAACCATATTTATTATATCAACGGTAAGCAATAAAACCCTCGTAAATCTATTTGTTTTTGTAAACCACATAACTCTAGATGCTGAGCTATATATGTCCAGTGTAGCTCGTAGCAATACATCTGGAAGCCTTTACGTAACAATCAATGCCTCAATAGAAGGCAAAAGACCACATGGAAGGCCAAAAAGCAGATGGATAGATAGAATAAATAATGATGCAATAGAGCTCCGTGCAGATAAATGGAAAGAAATAGCCCAGGACAGGCAGAGATGTAGCAGGCTTGTTAAGGCGGCAAAAGATCTACATTGTTTGTAATGCTAACAGCAAAAAAATATTAAATATGCTCAGTGAGATTTGAAAGTACATCTGTATATTTAACCAATAAATGATAATGGGTTGTACTACTATTAAACTCTTATTTTTCTATCAGAAAGTTTATTAAAATAGAGTTCCGAGATTTTCATGTCCACTATCAATTGTTGAAAAGTTGTCACACTAATTGCAAGTGGATAACGTGATTTCACAAAAGAGAAAATTCTGATTATTCACTAATTTTATTTTCTAAAATGTGGACTTTTGATATAAACCACAGTAAATGTATTTAAGGTTATAAACATATCCATGAAATATTTTTATATTTCACTTCTTTTACACTAGTACAATAAAACAGTAGTTTAAATAATGTCAATGTCTTGATTCGATGAATTTTAAATATTTTTTTCCGACTTAAAAAAAATGTTAAAAGTTTACATTCAGTAAGCAAATTTCATTTAATTTCCTCGGAAACATTTGATTTACGTGATATAATATTAGTTTTCATAAATTATTATTTATATTTTTTTCGTCACCCTCCGTTACCTAAAACACTTCTACAACTTTATTTATTGGATATTATTTTTTCTAAAATTATCCGCTTTCCAACTGAAAGAAGTTGCTGTAACATTGCTGAAGAGAAAAAGTTGCTGTAACATCCCAGACCTATACTTAAAATAAATTTCAGTTTCATAAGACTTTTCACTTTTGAGCTAGACTGTTCATACACACCATTTTGCAGGACTTAGTTATTTGAACTTGAGGGACCTCAAAACATGTATTTGCATTGAAAACTCAGATTCGAAAATTTTCACGATCACAATACTTTCTCTTCCTATAATTTACATATAGGCGTGAAAGGAAAGTAAAGAAGTGAAAGTAAAAAATACATAACGACTTCACAAAATGTCTAACATTTCATGCTTTACTGCTATATATAAATAGTTGATCTTAGTTATAATGGAAGAAGAGCGACATATGATAATGATAAGAGAAGGAAGGAGTAGTCAAAACAGTTAACATAAGATAAATACATTTCACCTTTTTTTAGTGATTTTAACTCTATTTCATTTTATATAATTTGATTATTTACAGCATTCAGATTTTGTTAATATTACTCTTACAAATAAATAAACATTTTTATCAAAAAACACTTTTATTCTAGATACATATTAAATTTTTTAATAATCTCAATTTGTTTTTTCACTCTAAATCTAAAATGAGCTGAAAATTTCTTAAGTTTTATTTCTGACATAGGTGTACACCAGGGCTTGAAAAGGAGAAAAAACTTTTATTTTTAAAAAGTTTCGGAATCACTGGAATTTTTACTGTCAATAGTTTACCAGTTCTTTAAGAGCTAGAACTTTTTCCCTAGCAACTTTTTAAGTAATGGATTTACAAAACTTTTATTTAAAAGCTCAGTAAATTTTTCTAAAAAGTCAATCCAAAAAATGACTTTCGTTCTTACTCCAACCAATGATATATTAGAATCATGTGCAATCCATTAAAGATAAATTGCAACTCTGATCTAAGACCAATTAGCGTTTGGTTTTTATTTAACGGAACTTTTTTTCAGAACTTGAATAAATACAAGTTAAACTTATATTAGATACCTGAGAACTTCATTACAAAAACGCTCCTTAGAATTATTATTTTAAGAACTTTTTCCCTAAAACGTTTCACAGAAGCTGAAACTTTTTAAAAAAGGTCCAACCCCTGCACCATAGTGCTTAATCAATGTCAAAATGAAAGTCTTATATTTCTTAATATCTTGTTACTGACGATCTAACATTCAACAGATAACATATTTTTGTAAAAGATATAATACAATATTTTTAAAATACACTATATTTTGTTCCAGTTTGATTGCCTTCTCTCCTAATCATTATCTCTTACACAGAGATTATAAACAGAAAATTAGATAGTTTGGGTTACTATTTAATCAATGCAAATAATGTTGGTGATCACAACAGTGTATATAAAACCCAGCTGAGATTTCAGATAATCAATATATTACAAAATAGATAACATTCTCGATTAATTTCTGTAAACAAAACTCAATTAAATTAAATCAAGATATCGGAGTTAGATGAAAGAAAAAACTTAAATTAAAAAACAGAAAATTATATGAATTAAAAAGACATTTAATGAATGTATATTCAAATGGATTTGAACATTAACATGACATTAGGCAAAGGATTAGTTTTTAATGATAAACTGTTAGGAACCCGTAGAAACTAAAAGCCTATCATGTTTCCCCTCACAGAAAACTTACATTTTAAACATAATACAGATAACAATCAAGATTAATGATAACACAAATTTTATCACTTACCTCCTCTACTTCTTTTAACCATCGATCAATCCCATCGAAAGACCATTTGTTGGTAATGTCATAAACAAGAAGTATGCCTTGAGCACCTCTTGAATAGGATCTAATAATTGTACAGAACCTTCCTTGACCTGATGTATCCCATAGTTGAAGTTTAACTCTCTTACCTTCTAGTAATATTGTTGTGGTTTTATAAGCTATGACAAAAAATGTAGTTATACTGTTTGTCTTTAATCCACAAGGTACTAATTCAACATTATAACACAGTGTCAAAACACTGGCCAAAACAAAATTGAGAAAATAACAATCTTAAGTGAATGGATATTTACCACTTCCACTACAAAAGGGTGATTCAGATGAACCATCCTCTAGACCACATAAAATTTCTTGTTTTCCAACGTCACTATCTCCCACTAATAAAAATTTTAACAAATAATCATACTGCTTCGGTTGCTGACATGAATTTCTTTCCATTGCCATAACACAGGGCAAATTTTGTTTCTTTTGTGCATAATAATATCATTAAAAACACAAACACAAAACAAAAATAGAATATAGTGTAACTCTTAGAGTATATTAGTCATAACCAATCAAGTCCTAAATGTGACAGTAAACAATAGCTAACTGTCACTGTCCTAAATTAAACATTTTGGTAGTCGCCATTTTGCAACAAAGGTTTAACTTTCATTCTCGATTAAAAAAATATATAAATCGATTCAAATCAAAGTTCAATTGGAAAGTGATCAACTTAAGTGATAAAATATCACAAGATATCATTTTGAAAATGTAATAATGTTTTTTAGTTAAAAATAGGTATCAAAGCGTAGCCAACACTTGACATACACTATCTATTTTTTCACTGGTGAAATCAGAATTTCTAAACAATAATGGTGGAGAAATTGTTAAATATTGATTCTTATAAGATAAGTTGGTTTGGAATTAAAATCATGGAAGTTCACACAAATAAATTATTTGTTTTCTTTATGCCGACGTTTCAGGCCTTCGTCCGGGCTGCTCGTTCAAAGGATATCGGAGGGTCAACATCCTAGGAATGAGCAGCTCTAATGACTACGATCTCTAACCAACTTCTCTTATGTAAACAATTGATAATAAGTCTGTTATGTGATGAAAACCAGCATCAGGACTAATAATATATACTAAGTGTACTCTCTAGGATTAAATGAAATGAATAAAATCTTCAGAACTAGAAATATGATGGAGCAGTTCAATGAGAAACATAGGAAATTGATAGTTTAGGCAGAAAGAGATGAAGAAAGGAAAGAAAAACGATATGAATAATGAAAGAAAAAATGTTTTTGCGTGTTTCGGCCTAGTATTGGCCATCCTAAGAATGGTCGAAAGAACAAACAAAAATAATCCTTAATGGCTAACAGAAATCCGGAAAGCAGTAACCAAAACTAACCGAAGGTGGAGGAGACAGGTTCTGGTGGCTGCAGACCTTCAAGGTACATGAAGTGGAGCATTTTTCTCTTAATATTTTATCGTAAACTGCTGTTTCTTGTATCTTAAATAGTTACAAACACCTTTGTTTTCTATTGGTAAGTCATTAAACAGTAGTTGTTTAGCATCCTAGCTGGATTCGAATGAGAAAGGAGTATCTTAAACCCGAGTTCACCCTAAAACAAGAGCTCAAAAAACGATACGAAAAAGCTGAAGATTTGCTTATTTGTTTATTTTAAAGCAATCTAAGTGGACAGAAACTGTCGTTAGAAAATCATCACTGAACTGAGAGTTCTCGAGAAATTGCCGAGATTCACGAAAACAAACAAATGGGTCTAAATGCCGAGTCCTAATACAAGAAGAAGTATCTGAAATCTCCAAAGTTCGAACTGGCTTGCAGCAGAGAGATGGACTCTGGTCAATGCTGCTATTGTTGCTGGACTCTTGGTGGGATATCTATCAGGGACCTCTACACAACTTAGTACCATGCAAAAATCACGATGGCCAAAATACATCCATATTGTATCAATAAACATTCATTAAAGGTCGTGCAGAAAACTGAAAAGAAATATCCAAAGATAAGCAGAATTGGAGAAGACTGGTGAGGCTGGTTAAAGGATCTACGAGATCTGTTAAGCCAATAGGAAAATAAATCTTCTTGATAAAACCTTGTAACTTCCTATCCTACTATAACGAAACCACAGTTGAGGTTCCATAAAAAAATAAACAAGCAAAAGCAGAATCAGAGTAATCCATATAAAATATTTCATTAGGTTAACAGATTTTACCAGAAGATTCGCAATAAACGAATTTTAAAAGATTTAGGGGGTCACTCCGCTTTTGTATACGTTAAAAGAAATCATTTAAAACGGCTGGCCATGTGAATGGAATACAAAAAGACAAACTCTATAATTTCTGGAATCAAGAAATCGAAAAGGGTATACGTGGTGTTTCTACGGTTACAATGGGCGATTTGTCCTATATAACCTCGTTATTTTTGGCAATTTGGGAGTGTAAGTCACGCTAAACAGCTCAATATTTTTGAAGGCGAAATTTTTTCTCGATTTTGTGAATTTTTTGTCGAAATGGAAAGCAAATGGTATTTACGAGTTTTAGTACCTAATTAAATAGACAAAGTTTGTCGATCTCTAGTTTGAAAACGCCCCAATTCCGAGAATTTTCGTAAATAAAATTACGATGAGATGAACCATCAGGAAAATTTATAAGGATGGTAATAATTTGATAAAAAGGGGTCTGTACCACGTACTATATTATAGTAGAAAAATTTGTTAATATTGATGAACTGTTAATAAATTTATTATGCGTTTATATATAAATTAGCGCAATCTGAATATTTCTAATTTCCTATTGTTCTAGAGAGCCACGATTTTCTTATCGAATCATTCTGTAGTATACTAATAAATATACTAATTGGCTCATACACACATATATCATACATTATATACATATGTTTAGTTATCTGCAAAAAAGGCAAGATGTCTTCGAGTATTGAAGGCTATTCTTGAATATTACAGAGTAAACTAAATATTCTTACCGCAATTAAAACAACAATTAAAGTCTGAGGTGGTTTTGTTTATTATAAGGTAACAGCACAAATTTAATTATTTGTTACATCACATACACGATTAAAACATGAGCTGAGTTTATTTTTGATAAGAGAACAGCACACGTTTATTCATTCATTACAAAACATAAACAATTAAAACTTCTCATCCGCACTCTCAGGGTGATCCGCCACTACTGCCAAATAGCAGAACGCGCCGCATTTTGGTATTGGCTGTGCGGCGAGAAAGGCACCTCCATCCGGCGACTGCCTGTACAGTATAGGCATTTCCGGGCTGGATGCAGATTGATCATGCTGAGCCCACATTCCTTGGGTTGGGTCGATCTGAACACCCATGGTCGCTGCATCTTTAGTTCCTGCCTGCAGCAAAAAAACAGATTTAACCTTTTTAAAAAAAAAATAAATAAAAAGGAGAGTAGTTGAAATCTGTTCATCATCATTATTATTGTGCTGACGGACAAAAAATCCTCTTTCACCTAGATTCATTAGGATCTTTTGTGAATAGTTCAAATATTACTTCTTGATATAGTGAATAATTATTTAAAAATAAGTCTGGAATGTAATACGAAATTATATAAAAAAACAATATCAGTGTAACCAAATTGAATAATGAGGCAATTAGTTTCATAGAAAAAACAATATTTGGTTTGGACAAATATTAAACAATCTTATTCTAATAGAAAACGAAAATCACAAGTAAAAAAAAAATCATGATAGAAAGTATTACTCAAAAGCTAACTGGCGTAGGGAGTTGGCGGCCACATTGACCGGTCATTTGACAACAATCAGCCACTGGCCCTCCAGGTTGAGGGAACACTTCACTTACATCCACACAGTACATTACCACAACACACAAACACAAAGGATATCCACAGTACACACCATAGGATCACCTTTCCTATGAAGCTGCCCCGGAAGGAGAAGCAGGTCAGGCTGCTAAAGGGGATTTCCTCCTCACCTATTGCAGTGCCAGGCGAGGTGCGCGTCTGTCCATGTTAGCAACTAGAGAAGTACTGCTCACTACCGCACCCAATAACAGAACATAACTCACAAAGGTCACTCCTGTTGCTCTATGATCCTTCTCTTCCTAAATGGTTGAGCCCGCCCGGGGGAGATGATTGAGAGGGTACAGATGGAAACGAGGGATGGCACACCTCGGCCGCTGGGATAGTACAGGAGCCTGCACCTCCTAACCAGGAAGGAGTGGCTGCTCCATCAGTCTAGTGTAAAAGTTGCGACGATGAATTAGTGCCATTTGGTGACTGGATGGGACCCTTATGCTCGGACCGGAGTTGCTCCTCCGAGGCCGCTGGAGCGACTCTCTATTCGCGTCTATTCTCGAGCGACACGTTCTTCCAAAAGGGGAGTTGGGGCTGGGACGGCAGCATACCTACACTTACGCCATACATTTAACACAAGACACAAGTTTTACCAACAATACTACCGATGGAAACTATAGATGACGAGCCAGCTGACTATAGACGAAGTGCCAGCTGCAATGGAATTAGAGGCGGGGCAGTCATCGCAGACAGGATGGTACAGCCATACCAGCTCCCATCTAGTCATTTAAGCCAAAGGGTGGACTCTAGACAGTCCACTCTACTTAGGTCGACTACATCGACCGAGACAGATCAGAGAGGGACGCAAAGCCAGTCCTCCCCTGGAAGTGTTTCAAAGGAAGAGGCCGAGAAAATGAAAAAGGCCAAATTAAAAAAGAAGTTCTATCGAAAAAAGAAAAGGCGAGCGGAGGCAATCAAAAGTCAAGCCGAACGGGTGGCCGTTAGGGATGGGAGTCAAACGCCAATCTCTGATCCGGCTACCCATAGGCAGCGTCATTCATCAGAGAATACCGTGGATCGTTCCCCTCTAGTTTAACAAGAGAGGAACTTCTCTGGAGCTCCTTTAGAGCCGATACGGGCGGGAAGAGAAGAAGCTGATCCTCCTGGTACCTCGGCTTCTCGGGTTAGACAGGTACGGGCGTCCTCTTCAAAAGCCAAACCTGTCATCAAATACACAAAGAGACAGAGGGCGGTAGAGGAGCCCCCACCTATGGATACCCGCTGGCAAGACAAAAAAAGACCGAAGCAATCGCCTAGAAGGGCCAGCGACTCTGTCGTAGGACCTTCCTCACAGGAAGGCACTCAGTTGGATCAGGGGGATACCCGATCCAACAGGGACACTGCAGCTGGGAGGCCATTGTAGGTGGTTATAATGGGGAGCCAGGAGGGTGAGCCAAACACAGGATGAGGCAAAACTCATACGTAAGCTCCTCCTAGCCGAAATCGACCTCGGGTGTAATGAGGCACACGTCAGAAGGAGACCTCTGCCCTTTAAAAACTCCGGCTATCAGGCGGAACCGGGTTGGTTCCTCCTCATCTACACCAATGAAGAAACTAGGGATTGGCTACTGGACTGGGTCCCTCCCACTGACCAAAGGTTTGTGGTGAGGCGGTCCACCGAGGCGCCCTGTTCGGTAGAATTTTTATTAGGCTGGGAGCTGTCGATCGATCCTGCCAGGCTAACAGGTATCTTGGATTAGCAGAATGAGGACGTGTGCGCAATCTCGAGATGACATTTCGTAGGAATTTAGGGCGACCCAGGACACCTGAGAGCGGTGTTTACGGTGCCCGACATCTCAAT